GGTACAATCACTTTGGAAGACAATTTGGCTGCTTCGTTAAAAGAAAGTATGTACTGGGACCAGCAGTTAGCGTAATGACTATGTCGCTGGACTCCCACGTAGTCGACCGCGGTTCGAGTCCCGGACCCGGTGGCTTAAACTCACGCCGGGTGCGTGTGCGTGCGTGCCCAAGATCCCGAGAGGAGAATGGAGGAGAAGGGATTGCAGTGTGGCCATCCCCCCTGGGGGGTGATTTCCTGCTTTCTATCTCTCTGTCTCTCTCTGTCTGTCTTGCGAGCGCACGCGCCCTATAGCAAAAACCTCTCCAAAAAAAAAAAAAAAGAAAGTATGTACTTAAGTGTAACCCACTTATTCTACAACCAAATATTTATTCAAGAGAAATGAAAGCTATGTCCATACAAAGACTTTTGTATGAATATTCACGGCAGCTTTATTTGTAATAGTCCCAAACTAGAAAAAAACAAGAACAACAACAAACTCAAATGTCCATCAATTAGAGAATGGATAAACACTGTGGTATAGCAGCTCAATGAAATACTAGTTAATAATCAAGAAGAATGAACTAGTGATACCTGTAATAGCTTAGATAAATATAAATATAAATATCAAAGGTATACTCAGTGAAAAATGCAAGACAAAAAAGAGTTATGTAATGCAATTGATATAAAATTCTGGAAAAATAAAACTAATTTATTCTGGCAGATCATTGGTTGACTGAAGAATAGAAAAGAGTGAAGGGAAGAAATACAAAGAGGCACAAATAAAACTTTTAGGATGATGGATATCTTCACTGTCTTAACCGGTGAAGAATTCATAAGTGTATGCTTATTTTGAAAATTATTAAACAATAAAAACAAAACAAAATAAAATAATCAATTTGCATATCTTCAAATATGTGCAGTTTATTCTACATCAATTATATCATAATAAGGCTGTTTTTAAAAATCTTTCTGACTGCTTAATACAGAACTGACTCTAGGTAAGTAAGAGTGTAATGAAAGAGGTCATTTACAGCGGTTCATATGTGAAAGGATGATTCCTTGAGTTAGGTTGGCAGCAGCAGAGGAGAAAAGAAGTGAGCAGATCTGCAAGAAATTTAGGAAATAAAGTCCAAAGGTCTTGTTGATCACCATTTTCAAAAGGTCAGCTCATCCTGGCTTATCAGAGCAAGGAGTTAGAGAAGATCCCATTAATAAAGCCCCTCTGAAGTTGCAGCCCATAGCAAAAACTTACTTGCAACTCTATCAACCTGGAAGAACATCACTGGTTCTTTTTAATTGCAAAAACAAAGAAAAAAGAAAATAAAAAGACGAATTTTGAGGAGGAAGAGGAGAAAAAAAATCTAATACAAGCACCAAATTAATATAATATTCTTCAACAGTTGTCTTTTCATCTTAAAAGCAATGGGAAGAAAGATTTGATATGAGAGGTCAGAGTTCAAAATTCTAAGGAAGTAGTGTTCCTAGTATGCTCACATTAGTTGACCTTTTCTGATAATAATAAAATTTTTGAGAGCTAAACCTCTAAAAAAAAAAAACTTCAGTTTTGGAGAATGCTTTACTGTTTACAAATTTGTACTATATACATAATCTCTTTTAATTGCCACATCAACCTTCTTTTTTTGACTATACTTTTTAAAGAATATTTTTAAAAATTATTTTAAAACTTATTTTTGGGACCAGGAGTTAGCATAATGGCTATGTCGCAGGACTCCCATGTAGTCGACTGCAGTTCCTGTCCTGGACCCGGTGGCTTAAAACTGATGCCGGGCGTGTGTGCATGCGTGCCCAAAATTTCGAGAAGAGAATGAAGAAGGGACTGCAGCATGGCCATCCCCCATGGGGGTTGATTTCTCGCTTTCTGTCTCTCTGTCTCTCTCTGTCTTTCTGGCGAGCGCACACACCCTATAGCAAAAACCTCTCAAACAAAATTTATTTATTTACATCAATTTGCTTGTAAGTTGAATTTATCCAACACGAATACACTTCACACCACTCCATTTGAAGATAGAAAACACATTATCTTAAACATAATAATCCACTTCTATGTCCCATAAATGTCTTGCCTCTCTATTTTCCTCCTCAATTTCTGTAATCAATCTTTTAAGGGTAATTATTGACTACAATCTTTTGATGAAGAAACTGTGAGGACAGTTTGGAGCTGTGGAAACAACATCATTTTTGGAATCCTTCAGAATTAGTTTTGACTGTGGGTCAGACTGCCATTTATTCAAAGATTGATTTCTTACTTTAATATTTTCCAGGCCTCTTTTATTATAACTTCCCTTCTCTGACTGTCTCATCATTCATTCACTGCCATCATCAATAACATTCTTCATTTTCAGGTCTCCTGGCTTTAAGACCTAAATTCTAGCATTCTTTCATTTTGCCAGTGGACTTTATTAACTGTCTTTGAGCATCCATAGTAAAAAAAGCTTTGGTTTTGATGATTATTTGCATAACATTTTCCAAATTTCCACTCATTTTAATTATATATGCCTGTTTACCACTGCAGTGAACTATTAAGAACCAGCCATGTTAGAGTTTGACATTAAGAACTAGCTATGTTACAATGTGAATGAAACTGCTGCTTTTTAATAAGGATTCATGAGATTCCTAACCAACAGAAGTGGGTATGGTTGGGGTATGTACAGGGAAGACTCCAGCCATTAAAATCTCAGGTGATAAATTTTCACCTCTTCAAGTGAAAGGGTCCTCCAGCTTTTGTATTCTGGAATATTCTCTTATAGCCATTTCCCAAGTGTCTATGAGACTGATGAGTCTAGCTAAAATAGCTATGGTATGAGAATAGTTTAAGTTTCTACTAAGGTGGAACATAGATCAAATTATGTCCTCGCTTCTTCTTTTGTGAACATTTGTGAATGAGAGCTCATCATGTCCACCCTCCTTTGCCTTTAGTTACTTCCTTTCATCAAGGTAAATAAATGCCCATGACATTTGGCTGTTCATAAGCTAAAGTTGTAATTTTTCTTTTTCTCAGTAGGAGCCTGTAAAAAGTGGAAGAGGCCCAGGCAAAACTTGTCATGTGCCTTCTGAAACAGACCCTATCCAGATCCAGAGGTCTAAAGAATTTAAGTTAGGGAAGTCCTGGATCCCTGCTGACACAAAAGGAAATCTTCCTTATAGTTCTCCACTTCCATTTCCTCTACCTTTCCATTCTCACCTGCCTTCTCATCTTTACACAGGGGGTAAGAGACCTCCCTCCACAAGAGCAGTTGTAGTACCTCACTTCATCCTCCATTCCTGACTATCAAGAGGAAAAAAGTAGTCCTATATTGGTTCTGTTCCTTAAATAGTGCAGTTTGAAAACTTAAAATATGCAAAAGCAACTTTAAAACCAAGGGCCTGTACATAAGCAAACATGTTTCCAAAACCATGGATAAAATACAAGGACTTTGTGTACATGGCCTATGTGTGTATGCTTGCTTATCTGGGTGATTTTGCCTTGAACTGGTAAGAAAGGTGGTGTTAAGGTGCTGGACTCCCACAGCAGACCGCAGGGAGGGGGGGTTTGAGCCCTGGACCCAGCAGCTTGAAACAAGTCTGGTACTTGTGCATGTGTGCCCCAAATCCCAGGAGAATGGAGAAGTGACTGCCGCATAGCCATCCTGGTCTCTCCATCTACTCCCCCACCCCCTCCCAGTGATTTCTCATTTTACCTCTCACTCTCTGTCTTTCTCCAGTAACCTCACTAGTCCTTTGGCAAAAACTTTAAAATAAAAAAAAGAAAGAAAAGGAAAGGAAAGGAAAAGGAAAAGAAAAAGAGAAAAAAGAAGAAAAAGAAAAAGAGAAAGAAAAAGAAATGCTTGGTTAGAGGCAATTTCAGAAGGGAAGAAGGGCAGAGAAGAGGGTAGAAATGACCTCTGGTTTCTGTGTCCCAGAGCAATTGGCATCAGGCTACGAGGCTCAAATATATCCTTATGGAGGAATCTCAAAAAGTATCAGCAAGTATAGACTTGGCTGACCATGGCTCGCTCCTTTGTAGGGGTCTCTCTCTTCTGCGAACCCATCAGCGCTGAAAAGAACCCCTGGCAGCCATTAGGAGCTGGTAAAAGCCCCCCTCGCCAGCCATTAGGAGCTGGTATCGCCCCTTCCCTTCCTCCAGCGCCTGTTTTGAGATATGGCTTCGGAATCAAACCTGGTGAGATACAATAGCTCTGTCCTTAAAATAATACATAAACTGTAGCGCCTAAACACTGGTCCAGAAAAGCAGGTGATATGCAGGGAACCAGGGGTTCTCCAGGGCATAAGCGAACCTTTCTTGCCCTCACCCACAGTGTGCCAGCACTTGTTTCTCCAAAGCCACCGGCATTAGCGCGCGGTAAGGGGAGGGGAGAAAAGGAAAGGGGAGGGGAGGAAGAAAGGAGGTGGGAAGGCAGGAGGCCGGCCCGGCGGGGGCGGGACCCGATTCGCAAACTGTTGCATTTGCTCTCCACCTCCCAGCGCCCCCTCCGAGATCCTGTGGAACTAGCCTGCTGGGAGAACTGGAGAGTCCCGAGCAACCCCGGAGGCAGAGAAGGCGACAGAAGAACGACCGAGCTAGCAGCTCTAGTGCCTTACCAAAGCCAAAAGGAATATACAGCACCCGCTCCAGCCCGGCTCCGGCGCCAACGCAGCCACTTGTCAAGGGGCGGTCTGG